CACCCTTTCCATAACCGATGTGAAATAAGGGAGAGATTGTTGAGGGATAAGAGAGAGATAGTTGACTTTATCCGATATCGATTATAGAAGGGGTAGATGGGATAAGGGGAAGACTGTTGACTTTAGGTAGGATAAGGGGGAGATTGTTAAGCTATAAGGGGGAGATTGTTGACTTTATCGTATATCAGCTATCGAAGTGGTAGTGTAAGGAAAAGCCACACCCCTCAGATAAAATTCAACATTTTCCCCTCTCATACATCGGACCTTAGCTATATGGATAAACTCAATAATCTCCCCTCTCATATATTGGACCTTAGATTGGATCAGATCATCAACCTATCATCCAACAGGTATCTTACACTTATAACTAAACATCCTATCTCAACCTATCATCTGACGATAAGGTAAGCTCAACAATCTTCCCATCCTATCACAATCTTTCCATGGGCTGATCCGAGAGTGTTGACTGAGGTAGTCATCGTAACTGGACTTTGATACTAGTGTTAGGTACTATTGGGCCTTCCTACCCTAAAAACTAGTTCAAGGAGTGAAGTTTTTCCTCTCATTGATAATTAAGCATCCTATTCCTTTTGCAATTGATGTGGGATAAATTCAATAATTTTTCCCTCACACATCAAGTCCTAGGTTGAAATAGCATCAACCTTTCATTAGATAGGTACTAGATTGGGACAACATCAACCTTTTATCCAACGAGCGATATTTCATCTAAGTGTTTATTGGGGGAGTTGGCATAACTAGGTTTTGATACCAATGTTGGGTGCTATTAGACCTTCCCATCCCAGTGGGATAAACTCAATAGTCTCCCCCTTATACATTGGGCCTTTGGTTCGAACAGCACCAACTTTTCATCCGACGAGTACTAGGTTGGAATCACATCAATCTTTTATCCGATGAGCAACATTTTATCCGAGTCTTTACTGGAAAAAACTAGCTTAAGGGATGAGGCTAGCTTTTCCCTCGCGCATCGGGCCCTTAAGTTTGATCATATCATCAATCTATCATCCGACGAGTACTGGATAGGGACAAATCAATATTTCATCTGAGTGTCTATTGGAAGGAGGCATTATAATCAGATTTTGATATCAGTGTTGGGTGCTTCTCACCCCAAAAGCTAACTCAAAGCATGGGGCTTTTTCTTTTACTTATAACCAAGCATCTTGCCCCTTTTACAATTGTTGTGGGAAAAACTTAACACACATTCACGCCCATGATCCTCCACCACAGACAAAATGAGCTATTTTTTCTCCAAAATTTCGTAGTTTGTCTTCTAAAATACAGGCTAGAATTTTCATATCATTTTCCAATTAAGCAAAATGGTCGACAAAGAGGAATTTTGCCAAATACTAGTGGGATTGTAAAGTGCGTTATATATATATATACCAAAAGCAAGTTTAAACCAGCTGGAACTTGCACGCCTGGTTGTGGTTACTTCGATTGTCATCATCACAGAAGATTTCATTAGATTTTCCCTCGTAGTAGAGGCGAAATTTAAGATGAACTCTTGCTTTTGAAAATCAATTTATCAGCTGCCTCCAAAAGCATGGAAACTTTCAAATAGCTCAAAGTTCAAATCAATAGCTTAAACAAACTCGCTTTAACAAGCTTTAAGTTTAGAGAGTGACAACTGCATTTTATATTAAGCAACAAAGATTCGGGGATCACCACTGAAGACGGCATAATCTAGTCTTCAGCTAAAGAGGTTTTAATATATATGAAGTTGAAGACTCGTGAATACATGCGAACATTTTGTCTATAACTCATGCGTCTGTGCATCCTAATTTATCGTAGTATATAAAATTGGTGTCTCATTGTACAATATTAATTCTCCTAGTATATGGTAAATCCTGAATCTAACTACATGTCAATTTTGGGTCAGTATGACTAAACAGATAAGCAGGACTGAATCCAACTCTCTTTGCTCCCAATCTTGAATCTTTCAATCTTTCGTAATGAAGGAAAAATGTGGTCAAAACACCTTAGACACGCCATTGCTTTCGTGTCAAAATTATTTCCTTCAATTTTGATTACATGTCATCCTTTTGAATGGCTTTCAACTTGAGATATAAAAATTGCTGATTAAAGTATAACTGAGTTCAAATTAGAACGTTGAATTGGTAGAAGGTGAAGCTTAAACTTTTTTATTCACCGGGGTGCACAAACTAGTAATAAAAATGTATAAATCAGATTGTACAAATTCGTTGGACCTAAAGATGAGGAAAAGGTCTAATCCAGTTCCACAGCAATATGAGTTCAATACTTTCTTTCTTTCTTCTTCTTCTTCTTATTCTTCATTTTTTTTTTGAAACAACACTATAGAAAATAACATGTGATCAGTTTTTAAATTGTAAACCGAGTTGCTGAGAAATTTTTGTGTGAACTGCTTGACTAGAAGCATGCTTTTGACTACTTTCCAACCAAAAAATCGGTAACAGTCTCAGCAAATGGGACGCCCTTAAAAATCATTCTATTTGGGACGAGAGCTTCAGTAGTATGGTCTTTTGGTTCACCTACTGATTCTCTCAATTACAGCTTTTTGTCTGCATTCTCCGACCTTACAGCTTCTTGTCTGCGTTCTCCGACCTTGGCTTCGTAAAAATAACTCAAAAATTGTTAGGATGAAACACTCAAAGAGGTGCAATCTGTAAGTCAAGAACATTGCCTTGGCTTCGTAAAGATAACTAAAGTACTGTTAGGAAGAAACACTAAAAGAGGTGCAATATACAAGTTAGGAATTCAGTGTTAGTCCAAAAGATTCCCAACGTTGATTCAAAAGTTTAAATGATTAGGTTTCAAATTCTTACTTACTTAAGTGTTAAATTCGTCCAAAAGATTATCTTGAGCCAAGAGTTTAACTTGTTGGGTTCCGAACTCTTACTTACATTTTAATTACATATTAAGTCACTTGTTAAAGAGGTCCAATACGTAAGTTAGGAACTTAACGTTAATCCAAATGTTTAAATTGTTAGGTCTTGAACCCTCATTTACATACTAAGCGTAATTTCTCCACTTTTAAAATCAATGTGGAACATAATTTCCTGATTATGAACCTAACAAAAAATGAAGTAACACACGCCACATTTGCCCAAAGTGAGTTGTAATTAAGTAGTCCGAGGACTAACACAACACAAGATATTTGCAATGTCACTAATTTAATCGAAAGGTCAGCAGCCCGACAAAATCATTAAGACCGTGATTACGTATATTGCACTTTTATAGGCAATTTCTATGCAATTGTTCGGGCAAGCAAGTTGCAAGGCAATTTCTGTGCAAGCAAGCTGCAATAGTATAGAATAATTAGAATTCTTGTTATGCAGGTGAAGACCGTCCAGATGCAGCTCGCATCTAGATTTTTATTATGCGTGCAAATTCCCCCACGTTCCTTAAATCATTTTTTTTTTTTTTTGCTTATTTGTTTTTGAAAGAATCCATGGATCAGTAGTGGACCTAGTAGTTCTTCACTTATCTTTTTGATGGCTCAAACTCAAGATCTCTTAAGTATAGGTAAATTGTCTTACGAATTAGGCTGCATTTCGTCCACGAACATATATGTAAAATAAGACAAGTATGTCACTGGGGCTAGAAATAAGTGCTAAACTTGTTGCAACTTTGCACAAATGTTCGCCTGATAAACTTTTTTTTTTTTCTATTAGGCTTATAAACAAGCAAAAGAAACAGCATTAACGTCAAATTGGAAATTTTTTTTCTCCATTTCCTTAATAATCTAAATCACCAATTATTGCTGAACGCCACTAATATGGAAGTGTCATCAGGAAAAAAAAATTCAGATACTGTGCAAACTTTTCTCCATGAAAAAGGAGAATATTTCATTCTGGACACAAAAGATTTAGATAAAGAAAAAGTACTTTTCTTTTTCACTTCATCAACATCACGCATTAACATGAATCTAAAAAATTATTTTTAAAAATCAACCCATTCGTAATATATTTCATTCTCTTGGCTGTGGAACTTTCTTTGCTGATTGAGGCTGGATACATCAAATTAGTGCAAATCTTGGGCTTATTGGTATTGGATTTTGAGACTCTGTAGTTGGGCTCATTGTCACGGTTGTGGGTAGAATTGGGTTTTGAGTTAGCGCAGGGATGCGAATTAAGTCCAATTTCCAGCTTTCTATCCGTTAGTCCAGATACGTCAGATCGTGTGCGTAGTCGGCCCGAATAAAATCTGAAAAGATCGGGTATCATTTGATTAGATTATGGGGTTAATTGCATAAAAGTCCCACGAACTATTAGAGTAGTTGCGTTTACACCCTAAAGTATCTTAATGGGCACTGTACACAATCAACTAAAACATAATACAAAATTTAATTTCATCCAAGTAATTGATGAAATGACCAATTTATCATCTATTACAGAGTGACAAAAAAATACCATTTTAGTGGGAAAGATTAATACTTTAAATAGACTGATTTTCACTTAATATCAAAAAGTCTAATTGTTAACATATAAAAAATATATATACTACTTCGCTTTGAATGAGAATTAAGACTACTGCAGTCAAAATGGAGGCAAAATATGAAAATATTGAATGACTACTATTGTAATTTTTAAAATCTCATAATTTTCTTCAACACATCATAATGCCATAACTTTATATAATCAGTAAAATTTCATTTGAAATCTTTGCAAGAATAAAATTGGAGTAGAATCCAAAAATTTTCATATGAATTTAGCACAATAATTGCAATAAAGTTTTAATGCTGAACCAAGATTAATATTTTCACTTTATTAATATTTTTTTAGCAACTCTGGGTAGATAGTTAGGAAGTTTTTTGTTTTATACTTATTGTCATCATTATACAAATATAACTAAAGATAACTGAAGGTTCTTTTGTATTAATAATTACCACCCTATTTGAAACACAATGAATTACACAATCAAGTGTAAACATGACTTCATTCAAAATGTAAGCAAACATAAACAAAAAAAAGGAACTTAAATAACGTACTAAGCCTTTTTTTTTCTTTAGTAACATATTACATCCTACATTTGATGCATGGATTTATTTCTTCTTTTTTTTTTTGTATCATTCTTGAAGGTGCCAAAAACTATTATTCACGAGACTGAAGTCACACCATCTACTTAAGATTACTCGCAAATACTAAAGAAAGAAACTAGGTTTACATTATTTTTGTGCCTCATTGACAAGCTGACTTTAGAGCCGCTGCAAACCGTAGTAGTCCAAGACTTGTAATACTTTGTCTAAGCAACATTAGCAAAGTGGCATGTCGGGAGGTGGAGGCAGCAATTTTTCCTGCGGACGCTTTCCATTTTTAACAATGAAGGTCATTTCCATCCCCCAGCTTATGTGACGTTCAAGATGGCAATGCATCAACCACACTCCTGCAAGAGATTGTATGTCCTTTCCAATTATAATAGTTGCAATAAGTACACAAATTTTAATTATGAGATGCAATTACATATTACATATATATATATATATATATATATATATATATATATATATATATATATATATATATATATATATATATATAGTGTGTGCCTGTGCAAAAATTGATTTCCATCAATTATTGTTCTTTGACAATGAAAAGAGTGGAAAATTCCTATGATTATGAATTTATCACCCAAGAAATACCAGCTTTGCATAATTTTACAGAGACCTGAGCGAAGTTAATTTAAAAAAACGATATGATCAACAGAATACATATCAGAAATTAAAAAAACTCAGAACTAGATGGACACATTGATATCTCGCTAACTCATGCTTTCATTGTGATGACTGTAGCTAGGTATAAAAATGGGGTAAGCAGGCGTTTGATTTTTTTTTTTTGCAAAGTTTTACTGAGAACTAATATCCTTGATAAAAAATAATAATAAATATAACGCTTACCAGGGTTATTTGCCTTGAATCTTATGGCTGTCCAGGCATTCTTCGGAACTGCAATTGTATTCATCAAAGGAGGGTCCTCAAGGTTATAGTTCTTAGGGTCTTTGTCCTTGTCAAAGGTTCCAAATCCCCATCCAACAACATAAAAACTATGTCCATGTAAATGCATGGGATGATCAACTCCTGCTACCAAATTAGTGGCTTGGTAAACAAGCTCCACATGCGAGTTATACTCAAGAACCTTCACTTTGGTTGTTCGAGTAGGCGTTTGTAGGGAAACCGAAATGTTACTTGCAGTGTAATTGAATACCAAAGGTGGGAAGCTAGGAAAATTAGGTTTATACACTCCATTGATCTGATTATAGTAAGCCTGAAGTATGTCAATCTTCGGGCTGACAAAGCTCATGTTATTTACACTTGCCGCGAATCGATTGCCTCGAGGTCCCTTGCAGGTGTTATTTGTTTCACAAGGAAGTGACTTTATGGAGAGTGTAAAGAAAAGATTAGTGGTAACATTTTTTGGGACATCAACAGGGAATTCTTTACTCGCTAAGCTTCTAAGGCTCCCTGTGAAATTAGCTGATGCAATTGTATCATTAAAAGTCGGAAGATTTGGGAAAGATGGAGATGAAGGTGGAGTATAATTTCCACGGTATTCGAGAATGGCTGTGGTGGTTGTGTTGTCGAATGTAACAGAGCTGGCACTATTATAAGCTTTAGCAGCCATGTAGTAGAGATTAGGTGATTGATTGGCATGTAGCAGGAAATCAATGGTTTGGCCGGGGGATATTGCAATGTAACCACTATTTAAAGGCTTTGTGTAGCTTCCGTCTGATCCCACAACAGTAATCCGATGCTTTGCTACGGAAAAGAAAAGAATGTTGTTCATGGCAGCATTAACCATTCGAAGTAAGTAAGTCTTGCCATAATCCACAGTCAACTTGTAACTGTCTGCAAGTAAAGATTATGTACATTATATCTCACTACAAGTGTAGAATTTGGATAAATATGTCATGCTACTATAGAATGTGATCGATCTTATGAAATTCAATAAGAAGATGGGAGAAAAGGAGTTCAATTTCCATTCTTGTTTACCTTGTCTTGAGCATGGATACAGAAGACCAGGTTGACCGTTTATTAGGAAAGCATCAGAGACATTTGGTTCTCCCCCGCTGCTTGAAAACTCGCTAAGAACCTCCTGTATATCACTTTTCCACCATTCTCCTGCACCATTCTCAACACTTTAGATAATTAGGTGTCCATTTCTTGAATACATGAACAAATTATTTTGTCCTATATGGAAGTCAATGGTGTGCATTACAGCGTTCCATACAATGTTTTGAAACTCAGATCTGACTTTCTGGTTTAGTCGAAAGAGCTCATTCAATTCTATGAGGTCATTCAATTCTCTAGTTTTTTGGTCTTGGCCAAAATGATCGAAAGAGCTCCAATTCTTGAGCTTGGTCGAGTCACTATTCTGTCGAGTTTCAAATCACAGATGCAATTTCAAAATGTCGCTAGTAATGTAGTGATCCTTTATGTAAAACTGGCACTAAGTCAGAGTTAAAATAACAGGTTTTTCAACATATAAATGGGTGAATCTTTCCTTTTCTTGTTTTAACTTTTTTGCAAAGGAGGCAGCTTAAGATTGGCAATCACACATATATTGACCAGTTCAATATTAGCGCTCAGCAGATGATTTGAATTCCATTATACCTAAAATCATGGGCACTTCTGCTTGAAGCTTTGGAAACCCCAATGGGTAACTAGTCCCTTTCTTTGGATAAACAACAAGTAAACCATGAACTGTTGCTCGAGACCAGTCACTGTGAGCATGCCACCACAACGTTCCAATCTCATCAGACAGCACAATCTTTTGGGTGAAATTTGTTCCTGGCCTCATAGGGCACTGCGTAATATACTCTGGACCATCTGACCATGGAAATCTTGGCTGCTTTACTCCATGCCTGGAAAGAAAGTTAAGCTCTTTATCTTCTCTTAGAACACGTAATATTGAGACCAAGAAAAGATGAAGAAAATTATCATACCAGTGAATGGTGATGCTTTCTTTTCCCTTGTTGTGTACATGAACAAAGGCTGTATCTCCTTGACGAAGGCGTAGAGTTGGTCCAGGAAATTGACCATTTACTGTCAAAATGTTCTTGGTGCTGCATAGTTTTGTATATGGAGCTTCTTTTACCTGTGTATACAAAGCAAGATAATATTACAAAAGCTGAAAATGCAAGCCAAACTTCATTAGTGATCTTTTTACTGGGAGTTGGGACTAATGTAGCAACTCTGGAAGCTATTTTAAAGAAGGGTAAGAGAGTAAAATTTTAAAAGTTAAAAAAATAAAAATGAAAAGAAGAAAAGATAAACTTCTGGTTAGGTGGCTAGTCAAAGGATATTCAAGATACCTCGGATGCCATTATATGTAATTTGTAACCTTCCTAATAAAACAGAATAAGTTTATACTTACCACGAACTTATATCTATGGATCAAAGCTTGGGTAGGTAAAAGACCACCCAAAAGAAGAAAGACGACAACTTGTAAGATCAAAACCCTCATGCCCGACATCATCAGAAGTTATGCAAAAACTGCTCGGTTTCTTGTTGCGTTACTTGTAAAAAACCCTGAAGTATTTATAGAGTAGTGATAATCTGCAATGGAGAAAAGGGAACAAGTTACTGATTTTCCTTCTCATGGTAAAAATTCAAATCGAATGTGGATCACGTTTTCACTTAACCAGACCGATTGCTATTTCTTCTATTTGCTGATTTTTTTTCATTTTTTGAAACATGTGACGACTCTCTCACCACGTTTTCAATACAAGTTGCAGTTTAATGAATAAAAGCCAACCAAATGCCCCATGTAGTGGTTGACATGATAATTGAAGAGACAACTCGAACAATTTTATCGAGTTGTGTTTCTTTACAGTTGTCTTTTATACTTTCCCGTAAGAACTTGTGTAAAAAAATTAATTCACTATGTTAATACGTGTAAATTCATGTTTATATTATTGCCTATATATATATCAAGCCTGAGCAGCTTACTAATTTATATGCCTTGTCCAAGTATGAAAATGTCAGCTAATAGACGTTTCATTGCCAGGACCCTAGATTATTTGTCGACTCGCCTACATTTTGTTAGCTTTTTTTTTTTTTTGATAAGTCAAGGTTTTGAATCCAAAACGTCCTATTTACAATCTCTTTCATCTTACCATCCAATTCAACTCTTTCCTAAACTTACCTACTTATTTCTTCCCTACATGAAATTATGTTTTTGAAAACATTTGATTTAATGACAAACTCCAGTAATGTGCTTTTTTTTCCTGCTACATCTACATAGACAGACAGAGATAAAAGAATTAGTGCTATTCTTTAATTGATGATTTTGTTAGTATATGTTGACTACAGTACTAGAATTTAGCCTACACCTTAGCACTTTTTTTTATTACTTGTGAATTTGTACAAGTATGAATGTCATTGACAAAATTCCTACATTTCAGTGATATTAAATGTAGAAAATATCATATTCAACAAATACTACAATGCATGCTGACAAATCAAATAGATATTCTTTGAGATAATTAGAATTTTTATAATGACCATAAACCTAGAACTACATATTTGAACTCAATTAAATATAAAAAATTTGACAATTCATTTTCTCATGAACAAATAATCAATTTTGATCAATAAAATTAATTATTTAGCGTAGCAGTTCAAGTCACAATAAATAAATTTTTCTTGACACTAGGTAAAGTTAATCCATATTGACAAAAAATTATACCTATTTAACAAAAAGATAATAGTATTAGAAGCGAGGAGAACCATAAGAGAGAAAGTGTAAGAAAAACTAAACTTGAAAAGAGTTCAATACAAATATGGGTAAAAACCAAGCATTCAAATGACCCATTAATTTTATCTTTTCTTAATTAGGTATGCCAATATAAGAGAAAAAATAGGTAATTTAATTAAGTGCACACACACACACACACACATATATATATAGTCTGTGCGCACGATCGTGTATCCTCTAATTCTTGTTTGAAATGGATGTAAATCATTTAGACATGTCCTTGTTGTCGGTGCAAGTTTAAAATCTTTGAAGAAGAAAAAAAACTTTAAAATACAAAAAATCGAATTAAAGAAAAAAGTTTATTATGATATTGTTTTCAGAGTTTCCAAAGTGGCGTTACACAATAGAAAAGTTTAGTTATTTCTCTAAATATACACACCTCATTATTCTTAAACCAAGTCTTCCAACATAATAATAATAAAGAAAAAAAGAAGTGCGGAACAATCGTTTATCTTTGTTTTTTAATTACAATCGTTTATCTTCATAATAAACTACAAATCTATCACTGTCGGTTGGCTCCGTTTGGATTAACTATTTTTTGGGGTGTTTTTGAAATATTTTATTATAGAAATGTATATAAAAAACTTTTACTGTAATTTTTGTAATTTTTTTGAAGGGTTTTTGAAATATATTTTGGAGTAACTTTTAAAAATAAAATATTTTTATCATATTTTTAAAAATTAATACTACTACCCACAACCACCACAGCCACTATCTCTACCCACCCACCACCGCCACTACCTTCTTCATTTTCCTCCTCCCCTTTTCTCTTCCTCCTCCTCTTCCCTTCACCTCACCCGTCGGCCCCTCCTCTCCCTCTCGATCTTGATCTAGTCTCGACAAGATAGAGGCCTTTGGTCTCCAGATCATGACCAAAAAGTTGTGACCTTTCGGTCACGAACTGGTCATGACTAGAGGCCTCAATCTGGGGGTGGGGAGGAGGAAGAGGGAAGGGGAAGAGGGGAGAAAGGAGGAGGGAGGGAGTGGTGGTGATAGTGGGTGGTTGGTGATGGTGATAGGTGAAAAATGTTGTAAAATTTATTTTTTTTTTAATTTTTTGTGTATATTTGTGAGTTGTTTTTGATATATTGTATGAATCATATATTTTTTGAGTTATTTTTTTGTTTGTACATTATTGAAATATTGTATTTGAAAAATTAGTTTTTGAAAAATAGGTCAATCCAAATAGAGAATCTTTTTCCGTTATTAACTGTTCCAATTGATCACGGTTTGCTCTATGGAATGTTCCTTGCCTTCGTTTTTTTTTCTTTCTAACTTCTCTTCCTCTTTTCTTTTCTTTTTTTTTTTTAGGGGGTGGGATTTCACATTCCTATTTCCACCTTCCCAAATCCCAAGTCCTTGCTTTTCAAAAGTTTTTTTTTTTTTCAAAAAGAAATTACTTGACTAAGCTAACTCTAAGTAAAGGTTTAGTTCCAAAAAAAAAAAAAGGACCAATACCATAATCAAAGGTTCCAATTCTGGTTCAAACCATTAATATACATTTATGACGACGGGCTCGGCTAAAGAAGATTGTTGACTATTTCGATGGTTTTCCTGTTTTCCATTTTAACATCAATGAAAAAATCATCTAATCTTTTCTTTTGTTTAAAACGTTTAGTAACACTAAAAAATGTGATGTATATTTTATAAAATTTTATTATTTTTCTTTTTCCTTGTTATAAAATATTAAATTGAAAATCATTTTTCCCCAATATTCAGTGTCTTCGGCTTCTCCCGTTCTAAATTCATTGTTTATATTCGCATTTTTAGTATCGACTCTTAATATTTACAACTAAATCTTGATTCGAAATACTAAAGTCACTATAAATTGAAAACCTAGTCGATAGTTACTACACAATGTTAGTGGACACGATTTTGAGTATAATCCCTCTCATACAAATTGAAAAAGTTACGAAACTTAGATCACAACTGCTGAATAATAGTACTAGGTTAACATTTGATGCATGCGACTATAATTAGTAAGTAAGACGTCTCAATTAATTTTTCATCGCCAAAAACATAAATCAAAGTAAAAGTCTCATTCTCCTTTTTTATTGTTGTATTATTTAAAATCAAAAGCCATGAATTCGTACTTGATTATTAGAATGATTGCTTTGTCATCAAATGAATTGCTGGATGACAACGTGACAGAAGGGTGGTCATGGCATGATTCCCTCTAGACGTTCTTCAAGTAGCATTAATCTAGAATTTCTCATGTCACAATTACCGACTAAAAACAACTAATTTCTCCGTCTTTTAACGCATAAACATTTGATATTAATTCAGGTAGAACCTCCGTTTGATCAGGGCTCTTTTCTTTGACTGCTTCCTGCCATTCAAGATGATTTTGGTGAATTAATAAGATTGATTGATCTGTCTCCACCACTCCATAGGAACAGCCCCCATTAGGAGAGCTGATGCTAACCACTAAGCTTTGCATCAATGGCTATTCAAAGAGTCCCTTTTTGAACCGTAAATGGGAGATTCGAACTCCACCTATAATAAAAAAAAAATCTAAATGAATTGTCAGAACACCTTTTTTGATCTAATGAGATTTGTCTGAGCAGAAATGGATGAGTTTTCATGGAGATTAGCCGACTAAAGTCGGCTGAACGGTGGATCAGCATGACCCCACGTTTGCTTATCCTACATGGAAAGGGTCCACAGATCCCATCAATTTCCAATCCCTGCTAAAACATGGCAAACGTGAAAAGTCAGCGGAAGTTTTGCCATCTAGTTTGCAAATTTATCTCACTCTTAGCTGTAATTGCAGAGTTGCAAGAATCCTAGGTGAATTGATTGCAAGAATCCCATTCATTTGTGATTGGAGATTTGCGAGGTCAAAATCACAAAGTTTTGTTACCTTTGATTGCAAGAATCCTATGTGTGTGTTAACTGTTGTTGACAAAAGGATATGTCCATGTCCATAATAAGAGTACTATCCATCATTTGGGGAAAAAATTTACTTGTAAATCACAATTCTTCTGCATCCATCTAACAAATTGAAGAGGAATATTTCAATAGATATGTGTGCATGAATCTCATTACACAATAAAATTAAAACGACACAAAAGTAATTAGATATCATAACACTTGTTAACTTATTATGGTTGTATTAAAAATTATGACTCTTGAACATGTCACAGTATTCAATCAAAAGAAAGTCCATAAACTCTTGACTGGATTCCAGTTATCTAAAAAAATCTTGGAACAGAACAAAGGGCGTCTTTGATAACCCAATTCACCATTTAAATTTAATAGATTCAAATCTTAATATTTTTAGACGTGTTTAATAATAGAAAAATAAAACGTCTTTCTTAATTGCGTGACTCTGAATTATTTAGACAAAACTTACTCAAAACAATAAGTGATAAATTATTCACTTATCACTTAACGTAAGATATACTCAAATGTAAAATTTCAGTACTTAACAATTCAGCAACTTAACAATTCATGTTTTAGATTTCAGATTTCATACTTCAATTATATCAAAAGCACTCAAAGTGTATGTATACCTTACTAAAAATTAAACTTAGGCCACCAATTGATAATAGTAGTATATCTTTTTATCCATGTCTATCACTTTCAAAAAAAAAAAAAAAAGGTGGAGAGGGGGGGCGCATGTCAAAAGACAAGAGTTGGAGGGGCGCATACGAATTTTCTACTTTCAACAAAACCAAAATGCACAAAGACATATCACAGCTCATAATCCAGCGTTT